CCAACGCGTATTGATAGCTGATTGAATCATGAAACTTTGTCGCTTGTAATTTGTTTAGGCCTTTTCTTTTAGCCCAGTCCAAGTGGTTTCGTCCCTGCTTGGAGAATTATTTTCAACCCATTATTAGATCTCATCTCATGTACCAATATATGGTTACTTGTTGACATAATAACATCTTGCTTCAGAAATAGTCTGTATCCATGGCCTTAGCTATTGTCAATGTATGCATTTTTATTTTTCGGTTATAAAATTTGTTTGAGTAAACCGTATTCAAGAATATTCATGCTGCGTTTTTAAAATTTATTTGCAAAACAATGTCTTAAGTCACATGAATGAAGGTCAAAACAACATGATTAGTGATGGCAATGGGCTGGGCTGAGACCAGGTACCCCTTGGCCTAGGTCCAAGCCCAATCTCATGACAAAAGCCCAAGCCCAGTCCGGACTTGTCACGGGCATGCCAGGTTACAAAAAGCCTAGTCCGATGGGCTTTTTGTAACCTCAGGCCCTACTTAAGTTTGCGTGAATTTTTAAATATTAATAAATTTTAATTTTTTTTTTTATTGTTAATTCTAGAAACAATTTTTAAATATTAGTTTATTTTTTAATACTCACCAAATATATAAATAACTTTTCATAAAATGTATTCATTCATCCATGTAGGGTTTGAGAAAAATAAGTATATATATGTAGGATAATCTTGTAGTTAAATATATAGTATAAGAGTATTTCAGTATAATTAATACTAAAATTGTTGGACCGGGTCGGGCCCGAAGACGTACTCAAGCCTGGCCCGTATTCGAGGTTGAGCCTTAAAATCAAGCCCAAGCCTAAGGCTGGAAATATCGGATAAAGCCCGACCTTTTTAGGACAGGCTAGGTCAGGTATCTAAGAATATCGGACCCATTGTCATCTTTAAACCTGATCTAAATGTGTTTGCATATATAAACGTATTTGGTTGATAGCTTGTAAGACCTACAGAGAAATGATCCATATACACTGGGCTTGTGGGTCGGTCCATGTTGTAAAAAGTCCATACAAATGCAACAACGTTGTTCGTTGGGCTTCTACAAAGCCCAACAAATTCATTTATCTGTTCTTGGCGGGTGTTATTCTGCCGGCAGTATCTAAACTTAAGGACTGCAAAATCCTTTCCTGGAATCAGGTAAAAATTTAATTTTTTCCCTTTTTTTCTTATATTCTTGGTGGCTTTTTTCAGTATTTGTTACACTTGCTGCTTTTCTCTTCTTTTTCATGATGCCATGTTTGTAATTGTTGCCGTTTTCTGTTTTACACTATGGAAACTTGTTGCCATGGACTATAGGGAAGTAGCACTGTATTAATTTTAATAACGTGGCTGTAATTTGGAGTCCAAAAGCAACTCCAAACGTATTGCTTTGTGTAGAAACAGATTATTGTAATGCTTTGGGTAGAACGTATTGCTTTTTTCTGTCCTGGGGTGTCTTTTATTTTTTATTCATCTCTTAAGTCTTTCCTGTGTTGTGAGCTTGAATGCATTTTGCTGGAAGAGCTCCTCCCTGGGGTTTTACTGTTTTGATGAGAAAATCTCAAATAGAATTAGTGACGATTGAGTGGTAGAAAAAAAGCAATTTTGGCGGTATAGAAAATAAAAACTGCCGTTGTAGTTTTCTGGTGTATGCATTGCTATTTCTGATTTTTATTTTTATGATTAGGAGTGTTCGGCTAGCTTACGTGCACCTTACTAACCCTTGAAACCTTAAAATTACTGGTCGGATAAAAGTTAAAGAGTTTCAATTGCTACTTCTATTAGCTATTTTTTACGTTCTCTTCTTTTAAATTTATACGCGAGTTGCATTATGTACTGTCAGGGCTTGAACAAATTTACTGTCATGATTTTCTGGCTATACAATTTGTTTGTTTTGTACAATTCAACCATAATGAGCATTTGTTGTCTTGTCCATCCTTGTAGTTTCTCAATGAATTTTACCTTTATGTTTTTTGATGAGTGCTTCTGAGTTCATACTTGATTTACATTTGTGTTTGATGAAGAGATAAAAACTAATAACTCAGCAACGATGACAGCCAACGATCTGAAGCAGAACCTAAACCAAGTTATTAACTCCATTCAGAAGATTCTTATGCTACTCTACCAAGTCTATCTCACTGTATCTTTGATTCAATGCCGCTTCTCAGCTCCCTCTGCTCCAACGACTGTATTTCCTTCAAATCCATCCATTTTTTTTTTCCCTATTTGCTCTTGATTTGTGGGCTGGTGTATTTATTCTTGTTAAGGTTGTTTTTTTTGCAGCAATTCTCAAGTTACGGAGCTCGACAACATGGTTAAATTGTCTGAGAACTGCAACATTCTTCAGGTTCCTATTGAAGTCCTTAAGCGAGTGGTTTTTCATGCTTTATTATCCACCTGATGCGATATCTTTTAGTTTGTGAAACAAAAATTTATTGCTTTGTGTAATTTGATTGATGACGGGAAAAAAATCCAGATGAATTGATGAGGGATGTCATAAACACTAAACAGTCGCATAGCCAAGCCAAAAATCAGGTCACCAAAGGCAAAGCTGACGCTTTAAAGGTACTTTCTTGTGGTTTGAAATATTTTTTAAATTTTAGTTTGATGTTTGAGGAACTTGTATTAACTAGCCCATCTATTTTTTTCTATTTAATTCTACATAAATTTCTGGTTAATGTTTGGTTAACTAGTGAGGTTCAAAGCTTTTGTGTAAATTCTTTTAAGAAATTGATAATTTTTTGGATGATCGGATTGATTTAAATTAAAGATAAGTTAAAAGAAATGAATTATCACATAGATGGTATGAAATAATCTTTTATTAAAAGATGATAAACATTACTTTATCAAGAAATAATATGTAAATTGATAGTTTTTTAAAAGAAATCTAAATGATATATAAACCATCGAGCTGGTTAATTACATGAAAGAAAAATCTAAAATATAGAAATGCGGTTGTATAAAATCATGAACACCATATATATGGCTCCATTTATTTTGTTATTCCTATCTATATTTCCAATCTTATTATCAAAATACTTGTTTCTTTTATTATTTGAGAAATACTATTCTATTTTTTTAATTACTTTTAAACCCTTTCAGTTTACTAATTTAATTAAACATCCCCTAGAAAAGAAAGTTTAAAAATTAACAAAAATATCTCCATCCAGTATCCACCCATAGTTGTTAGATTTCCCGAAATTTGTCACAATGATATAAAAACGATCGGAAATGACCGATAATTTATCGATCTGGCCTTTTCTAGTTAGATCCATATTAGATTTGGTCGTCAGTGATGGCCAAATCTTGGCCATCGTTGACCGACAACGACGGCTATATCTTTGACCATCGTTGACAGCCAAATCTGACCTTTTGCAGTCGTCGAATGCTAGATCTGGCCATAAATTTAACCTTTTTCCGACTAGATCTGGCCATAAATTTAACCTTTTCCGGCTAGATCAGTAATGGATCTAGCCGGAAAAGGCCATATCGACGCACGACGGCCAAATCCGATTGGTCTATGTCGTAACGCTATTTTTCGGCCAGATTTTGACTGTGGTGGTCGGAATCTGACACTGTAGGTGGGTGAGGGTGTTTTTATCATTTTATAAAATTTTTATATATTGAGGTGTTTAGTTAAATTAGCAAACTTAAACGGTTTTTTGTGAATTTTTAAATTTTACCTCGTAATATTCATCTTATTTAACTACCAAATATTATTCTCAAAATCATATCTAAAATAACAAAACAAATCGACTCTATGTTTTCGAAACTCTGAGTTTGCAATATTTTATATTATTCATTCGTGAGTGGTTGGGATGAATTGAAAATAATTTGGATGGTCGTATGATTTCATATTTGATTTTCCATTTGAGTATTTGTATTTAAGTGGGACATCATGGTAATCAATATAAATTGACCGGAACACTTTCTTTACTCACACAAAAAAAATAAAAAAAAAATTTATAATGATAATTTATATTCTAATCAACAGCAATGTTGACATTCTTTACTTGTGTCGTGAGAATTGGGGTTTCGTACTTGAAATATAATATTTTGGGACACATCCTTCAAATTAAGGGCCTGGATAATGTTGAATTATTAGTGACTTGAAAGATACACTAATTATTTAAAATAATAATATTTTAAGTACAAATTATTATATTTAAAGATGATTGAATAATTTTAAAATAAGATAAATTAGAAAAAACATATAAAATTATGACATTAATTCATAAAATATAATACATATTAATAATATTACTATTAAGAAATAATATCAGAATTGATTGTCTTTTGAGATAAAAGGGGGAAAAAAAAATCTAGATTACAGGAATGATATCGTAAAATCATGGACTCTATTGTTAACAATATATCATGCTAGATGTGATAATATTTTCTTGATTCTAGAAATCATTTCAATTACGGAAATACTTTTTTAATGAGAAAGACATAAACAAAACGATAACTGCGGTCGGCTAATTCTTATCCCAATTCGTCATCCTTCTTTAGTAGTGCATGGGTAATAATGTAAATTGACTAGGGACACAACAGTCTTTTTGCGAGAAGATATTTTTGGAGGTCGTAAATATCTGGTGACAAAAGCCATCATGTCATTTAAAAAATCTCAGCGGCACGTGACCGTGGACCCCGCTTCATTACAAGTCTTTAACTACACTTTTTTTAACCAGAGTTTGGCATGCCAGCACAGCCTGTTACCAGATGTTTGTTTTCGAGTATAACTTCATTCCGCACTTGTAGTTGTTCTTATCCCCAATTTGTAACAGCAAGCTTGTGAAATTTTACAAGAATATAATTTCAAGAAACTGAGGACAACTCAAACTCCACAACCGAACATGCCAGCACAATTACTGACTTAATTTGTAACCCTAGTTGTCAGTTGTCACGCAAATCACATGCGGCGCAATACGCACCCCTCCTTAACCTAACCCTAGTTAAGCCTCAAACCATCTATAAAAGAACCATTCTTTCCTTCATCTTTTCATATCTTATTTCTCTTCTTTATTCTTTGTATTTCTTGTTCTTCCCCTCAGATCTAGGTTACTATCATGGCTTCCGCCGATGTCGAGTTCCGTTGCTTCGTTGGCGGCCTGGCTTGGGCTACCACTGACCTTACCTTGGAGCAGGCGTTCAGCGCCTACGGCGATGTCCTTGAATCGAAGGTCCGTTAGCCGCAGAGATCGGTCCCAGATCCGGCCCGATTCGGCTCGTTTTGATCTGTGATCTGTTATCTGTGACTGTTTGTGTTACTACTACTCTATGTTCTCTGTTACTACTACCATGTTACTGTTCTCTTTTTTGTTACTGTCACCTTAATCGGTACGTTCATCTTCATCTTTTTCATTAAAGACGAAGGGCCCGATCGGTTTTTTATTATTATATTATTGATTTTCTTTGTAAAGTTTTTACAGATCTGGAAGTTTTAATCTGAATCTGATGTTTAATTAATTTTTGTTCAGATCATCAATGATCGTGAGACAGGTAGATCCAGAGGTTTCGGATTCGTTACCTTCCGTGATGAGAAGGCGATGAGGGACGCTATCGAAGGGATGAACGGTCAGAATCTCGACGGACGTAACATCACCGTGAACGAAGCTCAATCACGCGGAAGCGGTGGCGGTGGTGGAGGCGGCGGCGGTTACGGCCGCAATGCAGGTGGATATGGCGGTGGTGGACGCCGTGAAGGTGGAGGCGGTGGTTATAACCGTGGATACAGCGGCGGTGGTGGTGGATACGGCGGCGGTGGTGGTCGCCGTGATGGGGGTGGATATGGAGATGGCGGATCTAGGTACTCAAGAGGTGGTGGAGCCTCCGAGGGTAGCTGGAGGAGCTAGATTTAGGTTTAAGAGTTCGCGAGTTCTGTGTTTGATTTAGTTTGGCTATTATGGTTTTCGATCGGTTTCGTGCTGTTTTTGATCTCTGGTTCTGTTACTCTTGTTACTAAAAATTAAATGGAAATGAAGTATACTTCCTTTTCAATTGTCTGTCTTTTTATTTGACCTAATTGATTCAGTTGCAGGCAAGAAAGACAATGAAAGGCATTACATAATAAATAAAGTATTTTAAAAGTATATATAGCTTTTATTAATGTTATCCAAATACGTCAGGAACTTTATAATATAACGCCAATCTTAAAGCATTGATTGTGACCCTCAACTAGTTATATTTGAAATTTTGTATTATTTATTATACAAAATTAAAAATTAAAATATAATTCAAACGTACGACTTAATTTAATTGGAGGAATTTTTTCTCTTTTTTTTGTTTCTTTTAGGAAGTGAAGGGCGAAATAGGATCTTTATGTTTTCCTAATAAAGTACCATAAAATTTGAGGAATAGCAAAAAAGTGGGGCGGTTGCTCAAAACCTACGCTTGATATTTTCCTTTTTATCTTTATTGACGGGATATACTCTTGGTAGCGGGTCCGGTGAGTATATTAAATGTTGTAATAATATACAAAAGGAAGGGTGAAACAAGTCATTATATTTATTTTTTTGAGATTTGTGTAACGTTACTTTTAATATATGCATAATTTTTAATTAAAGTATTATATTAAGTTTCTTAGAAGATAAGTTTGATTACTTTTCACAAATTTCTCTTACTGAAGTATTATATTAAGTTTCTTAAAAGATAAGTTGATTACTTTTCACAAATTTCTCTTATTAAATATGACAGTGGTAAGCGGAAAAAACCAAAACACATCGTGTTTATAAAATAAAATTATTAAAAAGAGTTTATAAGTATAGTATTATATTAAAATGATAACATAAATAAAATTATTAAAAAGGGTTTGTGGGTATAGTATTATATTAAAATGATAATATAAAAGAAAGTTAGAGGAAGGGGTTATGAAAAAAAGTAATTGAAAATGGTTTATGAGTATATTATTATGTTTAAATGATATAAAGAAGAAAGTTAGAGAGAAGGGATGGTAAGTATAATAGTTAAAATTATAAAATTCTCAAGTGTAAATTGTAGTTTAGGGTATTAAATCTTTCCATGGTAATATTATTTTTTTATAAATACAAAATAATGTTAAACATTCATCAAGTCGTTGTAGTATAGTGGTGAGTATTCCCGCCTGTCACGCGGGTGACCCGGGTTCGATCCCCGGCAACGGCGTAAATTTTTGTTTTTTTAATGCATTTGATATATTTTACATAATTTATGGTCAACTGAATTTTTCTTGGATTATTAATTAATATTTTTTTTCTTACGGAAGAAGCCATCTTGTTATTAAAATGATAACATAAAATAATGTATATACTCAACTGAGGGAGGGGGAAATTGAGGAAGGATAGTGTGTATCATATTATAATAATTTTATAAATAATGAAAAATACAATCACTGATGAGTCATTAATCTACTTAACTACATTGGTTTTTTCTAGTGTTTTAAGAGTCATTATGTTAATCGTAGTTGCTGCCATCAAACAGTGTTAAAATTTTTTGTTATATGATGCTCTTTTATGATCATGATCGTGCACCAAAATGTGCATATAATTTAATGAAATTCAGTTCTTTGGTAGATCTGACTGGGCTTACTTGGGCTTCTTGAAATTCCCAGAAACATAGATCACCCTTGATTCCCTTTCATATCTGGGCCTAATCTTGTATGGGTCAATCCCACTGGCCCATCCATGAAAGTAGATGACATATTCATACATATCATTCCTAATTGATATTGATCTCATTTTGGATACGTTTTTATAATAAACGGGTTTGGGTATAACTCACTCCCAAAAGCTAGTTCAAGAGAGAAAGGAACCCAACCATATATATATATATACAGTAGCAGATCCAGAAATTCTTGTTAGGGTGGGCCAAAATAAAAAATAATAGCATATAATATTCATATTCTATGTTTTTAGTTAAAATTGTCACAAAAAATAAATAAATACATATAAATATATTTTTTTTTTAAATTTCATGGCCCACCCTCAACATACTCTAGATCTGCCCTTATGCACACACACACACACCCCATAATAGCTTGAGTAATGCTAGACTCAACCTTCTCTCACAACCCTCAATATGGCAGCTCGTCATTGGTTAGCTCGTGAAATGGGTCCTGCCTATTTGTATAGGTCTCAAATGCCCATTTACGAGCTAACCAATGATGAACTGTCACGTCAGGGGTTATGAGAGAATGTTGTGGATCCAACCCTATTGTAATAGCACAACTTCCAACACTCTCTCCCACGCTCGACCTGTAAGGTCAACGTCCAAACCCAAACTTGGCGATGTGGGTCAAGCGCATTGGTCCATCTGTAAAAGTACATGACATATTCATACCTATAACTTCTAAATTGATTTCATTTTTATATAAATATAAATATAATTTCTTTTAAATATTTTATAATGGGCATGCTTTGATAGAACTAGACCAATAAAAAATAAACATGTTTAAAGTCAAATTGGTACTATTCTATTGGATTAATAAGAAATTTTGTCTATAATCAAATGATTTGACTACATCAAACAACATTGGCTCCCTAGAATTCAAATGATTTAATTCAATATAATTGGATAATTTGAAAATTATTTGAGTTTGCCTTGCAAGGAATCTCTAGGTATGGAATTATTTTATGAAAAATTTTCAACCTTTATACAATTTGACTTTGTGAATAAGCTATAAACTATATTCATCATTTTCTTGTTAGAAAACTTAGTATAAAATCTAGGATATACAAAATTATTTAAATTAATAATCATTTATTTGTTATGGTCAATAGATTCTTCAATTTTTTATTAATTTTATCTAATTAAATTAAATAGTCTTCTTTATCATTAATATAATCTTAAGTTGAATACTATTGATACATAAGGAATGTAGATTGTATCCATAGTCGTGCAGAAAAACCGATATGACACGAAACAAATAAATAAATTGATATAAAAACCATCTTTATAGATGTGTAGTATACGAAATTGAATGATACGGTAATATAAGAGTAACGTACCGTAACATCACTTTATATACAAAACTCTGTAAATAAATTTTGTACGTGTAGTACCATTACTGTAATTTTGGCCCTAATAATTATTAGAATGACCAAACTATGATGAAAACTAACTTCCTTCATGATTAGTTGATTGCTAATCAAACTCATTAACTAAGTGGTAGGCAACAAACTCCAATATTGATTGAGTCATAGTTAAATAATCCTTAATTTATTAATCTATTTTTTTATTTTTTTTTTTTAGTAATACTACAGTTAGTTATTGAAAGGAGTACACCGAATTTATGTACCGAATGACGTGAAACAATCTTGACCATCGATTAATATTAATTCATAATTAATCGACGGTCAAGATTGTGTCACGTCATTCGATGCATGAATTCGATGCGCTCCTTTCGGTAACTGTATTATTTTTTATTTTTTTAACTTTTTTAGTGTTTACTTAAAATATTATTACATATATAAATTTTTTATATAAAATAAATCATATAAACAGATGTGTTATAATATGAATATATGATTACCCATCCGTGATAGTCTAGATGGTTAGGGCGAATTGAGAATAATGTGGATAAGTGTACGATCTCAGGTTTGATTCTCCATTTGAGCATTCACAATTTAAGTGGGGGGCTATGACGGTAGGTTGTAACGCTAGTTTCTCCCGAGGATTAATCGAGCTGTGCTATAATTAATTCGATAATTAATTAATTTAATTATTGACTTCAAAAATGATGCATTTACAAAGTAAAAGTGTGTTGAATAAGGATTGCTGATTGCTAGAGCATCAACAAAGTAGAAGTTGGTACAATATGATACCTAAAGCTCTCATTTTCTATTCAAATTCTTCTAAGGAAGGAATAATCAATCATGAAGAAAAAAAAGCACTTCTCTTTTGGGTGCTTTCTTTCTACTATAATTGCTTTAATTAAGCACTTCTTCTAAAATGTTCTTCTCTTTAATTAAAGAGGAGTATACCAAACTTTAGAGAAAAAGCACTTTTAATGAAAAAAAAAAACACTTTCAAATTAACATATCTTAACTTATTTACATTACCATTGGAGGAAGAATTTATCTTTTTTTTTTTAATTTATTTGGGAAAAGAGAACTTTAAGATGTGTTTGGATTAAAAAAATAAAAAATAAAAAGCCCTTCCGAATCAGATCATTTTATACCAACAACTATTCAAGAGTCAGATCAAAGCAAATAAATAAAAGCTGAAAAGTTGAAAAAAAAAAAAAAAAAAGTGCTTATAGAATTACTCTCATCCGTGCATGCATGTTTGCCTTCGTGCCTACCACCACTTCAAAAGCACTTAAACAATTTTAATTTCTCGTTTATTCATCCCAAATTTCAGTCAAATTTCTATAATTTTTGGATGAATTTCTTTATTTCAGTGTCAAAATAATAGTAATAAATCATTACGGGTATCATCGTTCATTATATTAAAAAAATGATATAATCATTTCAGGTACTTATGAAACCGTCAAACATTTAATAAAATAAAGACTTAATCACATTACGAATGAAAAATGAAGTTGGCATTTTAATTTTGTATCTAAAATTTCAAAAGGATTAATTATAGAAAAAATAACAATAATTGTAAACTTTAAAGATTTGGTGGGTAGTTGAATAGATCTTGAATATTTTTTTTACAAATAAAAAAAATATTACAAAAAAAAATAAAAAAATAAAAAAAATTGAAACCACACCCACATGAGAATGAGAATAAATTATCTTTTAAGGATTTATAAAATTAATTAAGGTGGTGGGGTTTAAGAGTAGTTCATGTAATCTCAGTTAAGTAAAATATTTAATTTGCAGAAGAATCTCAACTAATTAAAGCCACAGACTTGAGTGGTTGTGATTTTAATTAAATTATAATTAATAACTAATTAATTTAATTAATTAATCACTTGCCCATCATTAGTGGTCACCAAATCATGAATTGCTTTCAATGGTTGGTTCCTTTAATGGTGTCTGGAATTCAATATTTAATATTACATTTTTGAGAACTTT